GTTTTTTTTTTTTTTTTTTTGTTGGTTTTGTTTTTTTGACGTATATGGTTACGGAGTAAGGCCTCGTTCGTTAGCCTGTTTTTGAAAAAATAACATGCTATTGAAATTGATCTCACATCACAAGTTTTTCTTTTTCCGGTACCAAAAATTACGAAATAATACCACACTTCTTTCGCTGAAATTTTAAAATAGAGAGGGGGCCTTCGTTTCTGCAGCTTTCTCTATTTCGGATGGTATTTCGCTCCTTGCTCTAAATTAGATAGTACAACCTCGTAAAGTAAGTTATGACATATTTTTTTTTTCTGAAAGAAAGTGAGGAGGTTGTTCTCATCATTCCCCCTCCCCAAAGAGCCTCCCAAAATAAGGGCTAATTTTTGCCCCTTTTAGGTATTCGATTCGACTATTGGACAAAGGTTTAAATGGTAGCCTATGATAACAGAAAACTCAGGAAAACATTTCAAGATGAGTACAGGAGCCGTTTTCGAGTCACGAGGGGGGGGGGGCAAAGGGGTGAAAATCCGGCCTTATTTTTTGCTGTTCTCTTGTTGAATTGATGTGACTACAGGGTTCTTACCGTTGTTCGTACATGTCAAGCGCATCGATTCCTACGTATTTTTACACGTAAAATCGATTTTTAACGTTGATGAGTCGGTGTATCGATCGGTTTTATCGATTTATAGCGATTTGTTTATGGAAAATGGATGATTTTTCGGGATTTAAATTGTTTATTTTCGATTCATGAATGAAAAAATGCACCTATTATGACTGTAGCGTAGCACGCCCAATTCTACGTATTTTGACACGTAAAATGGATTTCTAACGTTGAAGAGTCAATTTGTCGATCGGTTGTATCGAATTTCTGCGATTATTTTCGGAAAATCGATGGTTTATCGGGATTGAAATCGGTTTTTCTCCTACCGAGGTCGGAGAAATGTACCCAACATGATTGGGACACATAGATTATTACGTAATTTTTACACGTAGAATCGATTTTTAGTGTAAAAGAGTCGATAAATCTATCGGTTACATCGACTGTTTGCGATTTTTGCGGAAAATCGATGGTTTATCGCGATTGAAATCGGGTTTTCTCCATCCGAGGTTGGAGAAATACACCTGACATGGTTAGAGCATATCGATTCTTCTGTGTTTTTTCAAGTGGAATCGATCTTTCACGATGACGAGTCAATATATCGATCTGATATACAAAATTCTTGCGATTTTTAACGAAAAATCAAGGGGTTTTTTTTTTGGATTGAAATTGGAGAAATCTATAGGACATGACTGTAGCACATCGATCCTGTCGTGATCATATTCGTAAAATCAATTTTTGAGGTCGACTAGTCAATATATCGATCGGTCATATTCGACCAACTGGATTTTCACCCCTTTGCCGCCCCCCCCCCCTTGTGACTTGAAAACGGCTTCTGTACTCATCTTGAAATTTTTTCCTAAGTTTTCTGTTATTATAAGCTTCCATTTAAACCTTGGTCCTATGGTCGAATCGAATACCGAAAAAGGGACGACATTTTGGGAGGCTCTTTGAAATAATCAAGAGTGGCGGTAGCCACCCCCGGTCGAGGAAAATGACGTCCTACTAAAGTCCCGATTACAAACGGGTGGCCGACACTCTTAGTCACAGGCAACTCCCTTAATCTGAAAATTGATTCGATTTAGAATGGAATTCAGAGCAAACGGCGGCACGGATTCCAACGATCTTGGTGTCAATGGACGCAGCTAAGTTAGCCGGATGGCGTTTAAGGGTTTCATTAGGATCCATTGAGTTTTCAAAAAGTTATAAGCACTTAATGACCCAAAACAAGGAAAATTTTACTTTTTACTTTGCCGGGAAATTTGAATTTCAAGAATCCAGGGTCCTATGAAAGTCACTCAAACTCCGCGATAACGCTAAACCTTAGACCCATAAAAGTGGGTACCTAAAGAATCGCCATGTTACCGTGTGTGCCGCTTTTGACTTTATTTTAACATTCCAAATGTTTTAGAAGAGAAATTACGTAAAAACGACTAAACTGACTG